GCTAGTGGGTGTGAAGTGGATTTTGCATTGAAGTTTTCATTTACAGTTCCCTAATGACTAATGACATTGAGCATCTTTTCATGTGCTTATTGGCCACTTGTATTTCTTCTTTGGAAACAAATCTGTTCAGCTCCCACTTTTAAACTGAGGTTGTCTTTTTATTGTTTAGCTGTAAGAGTTCTTCATATGTTCTGGATACAAGTCCCTTATCAGGCGTATGATTTGCAAATACATTACCCTCTTTTGTTGTTGTTGTTTTTTTAATTTTTGATAGTGTCTTTTGAAACACAAAAGTTTTAAATTTTGTTGAATTCTAATTCCTTTAGTTTTTTCTTTTGTTGTTTGTAATTTTAGTGTTCTCTAACCCAAGATAATGAAGATTTACTCTTATATTCTTTTTTTTCTCTAAAACTAATAAGTCCTAGTAAATTGGAAGGTTTTTTTTCTTATATTTTCTTCTACAGTTCTTTTGTTTTACAGTTTTAGCTTTTATATTCAGGTTTATTATCCATTTTGAGTTAATTTTTGTATTTGATGAGGTAGGGGTCCAACAATTCTTGTTTTAATGACAAAAATTATATATATTTAAGGTGTACAACATGTGATTTGATATATAAAAGATAGCGAAGTGATGACTACAGTCAAGTAATCAACATACTGTCTCCTCACATGATTACCAGTCCTGATTACCCTCTTTGATCTTTACGTTCTTCTGTTAAGCTATGAATATTTTGACAGCAAGTATCGTTTCTACTTACTCACCACGGTTTCCTGAACATCTTGTACCATTTCTTATTTATTTGTAGAATAAATGAGACCTTGTGCAAATAATTTCATCTTGAGAATCAGCTCATGTTCTACAAAACAATAAATTTAAACAACATCATTCTATGTGAGCCTTCAAGTTTTAGTAAAATTATGTGAATTTTTCTCAACTGGGATGACTTAGTAATATGATTATGTATCCTTTAAAAACCAGTCTCAGGTTGGACAACTATCATCTAATTTCAGCTTGAGAGCTCTCTGGAAAAACCTACTGTTTTCTGGCACATGGTACCTATTGAATAATTCTGTTCTGTGATGGAGCCAAGAATAATAATCATTTCTCATAGTTGAAGTTCTTGCAAATAACATAAATGGCTATACTTTTTTGTCATCCCAGAGATAGGTCATGTTTATATTTTATTTTTAAAATATTTTGTTTTTTAATAAATGTTTAAATTTAGATTTGGTCAGATTCCTGCTCACCCTTGGGACAGCCCTGTCATCCCTATTAAGTAACTGGATTCAGATTCACATTCATTCATTTAATAAATACTTACTGATCTCCAACGAAATGCCAGAAAAATGTTTACTGGGGACAGTGAAGAGGAATCTATTTCACAAGAACACCCTCTCTGAAGAAATAGCATTTACTTTGAGGTTTTATTGAAGTAGAAGGTAAGGAATATCAAGATCTGGAGAGAAATGATTTCAGGCAGAGGAAGCAGAAAATGGGAGGCCCCCGTGCTTGGGGAGTGGGATGACTAGTGTGGCTAGATCTGAATTATTTTGTTTTTTGTTTGTTTGCTTTTTTAAAATTGAGTTATAGTCAGTTTACAATGTTGTGCCAATTTCCAGTGTAGAGCACAATTTTTCAGTTATACATGAACATACATATATTCATTGTCACATTCTTTTTCACTGTGAGCTACCAAAAGATCTTGTATATATTTCCCAGTGCTATACAGTATAAACCTGTTTATCTGTTCTACATATGCCTGCCAGTATCTACAAATTTT